TCCATTTCAGGACCTTTCTATAGCTCCACATTGCCCACAAGTAAACACCAAGGTTTATGTGGCCATCTAGTCATTCTCATCCCCATCACTACTCTAAGATTTCTGAACATCAGTCGTATCAGATGAACTCACTCTAATATTTTCTTCATACATATATGATATATATATCATATATATATTACATATGAATTATATATATATATATTACTTTCTAAATTCAGCAAAATCTTATTCAATATTCAGGACCCAGTAATGTCACGTTTACTTTTTAAAAGAGTTTCCACATTATATAAATTATATTTATTTCCTTCTCCTTCTTTTAGTGCTCTGTACACAGTTTTGCAACAACACATATCTACTCTGTATGAAAATTTTTTGGTTTTTAACTTTCCTCTAATCCATGTTCCTTCAAAAATAGAGGCTCTTTCATATTATTCTCTTTCATCGCAGCTGTTAATGCTATCTCTGACATACAAGGAGGGTTCGGTAGATGGGCCTACAGATTGACCACAGTGCACTTTTGATGAGTGCAGTGATTAATGAGAGCTGGTTTATGAAGTTGGTTTATACAAGTGGGCTGGAAACCTTCCATTGTAGGGACACTTGAAAGTACCTCTATTTCATTATGTCCCTCAAGCCAACCTATGACTATATTTCCCCCTCTTAAGCCTGGCAATGCTGACTTAAACCATAATCCCAGGAAGATGATGTGCCCCCCACCCACACTCTTCTGGATTCCAACTCCCTTTGCAGTAACACCAGGGTTTTCATTCTGAATGAAGGTGTCAGGAAATTTTGGCACTAAAAAAGAACCTTCCAGATTCCATCAGTATAATGAGAAAGCTATGAAAGCTACTCTCAATTTCAGGGAATATTTATTCTCATTCCCATCTTGAAACTAAATCAAGTGCTCCACTTTGGAAAGAAATGCACATTTATATCTAAAGGTCTTGGGTTATGAGATGCTTCAAAAAATCAGCTAATAGCTTGCGACTCTTAATCAGCCCTTTTATCATTCTTGCCGGCCTGAAAGAATTAAGGGTGACGCCTCAGTTTTAAGTCCTGTTTGAAGAATCTGGATTCTGACACACTCTACTTAGAGCTATAATTTTTAAAAAGAAAATGCATATACTACAGCATTTTCCCATTTGGGATATTAACAAATAATCACATGACCAACACTGATTATCTTTATTAATATTTTGAGCAGTAGCTAAAGTAAAAATGATTTC